TCCCTCAAATTAAAATTTTTTTTTAATTTAAAAAAAAATCCAAAAAGAAAACCCAAATGATTTCACTAGTGAATTCCACAAAACATGTAAGGAAGAAATGATGTCAGTTATACACACCAGCTACCAGAATACAGAAAGGAAGGGAATATTTCCCAGATCATTTTATGAAATCAGCATTACCCTAAGACCCAAACCAAATTGTATATTGCAAGAAAACTATAAACCAAGATATGTCATAAAGTCAAAATTTCTCAGCAAAATATTAGCAATATATTGAATCTAGCAATATATAAAAAGTATAATACATGAGTTGGGACTTATCCCAGATCCTAAGAATACAAGAATTACAAGAATATAAGAAGGCTGGTTCAAATTCAAAAATTAATCAATACAATTCACCATGTTAACAGCTATATCTATCTACCTATCTATGTACCTACCTACCTATCTATCTCATTAGGAGCAAAACCAAAATTTAACATCCTTTCATGATAAAACGCTCAGAAAATTAAGAATAGAAAGGAACTTCCTTAAGCTTTATATAGGGAATCTATGAAAAACCTTCAGCTACCCATCCATAGGGGTAAGATACTGAATGCTTCTTCCCATAGTTTAGGAATAAGGGCAAGGATGTTCATTCTCACTATACCTATTCAACATCAATACTGGAAGTCATAGCCAGTGAAATAAGCTAAGAAAAATAACTTAAAGGCATACAGAGCTGAAAGGAAAAAGATGACTGCCTTTATTTGAAGATGACAAGGTTGTCAATGTAGACAATTACAAAGATATACAAAAACATTCCTGAAATTAGTATGTAAGTTTTAAAAGACCAATAGACAAATCATATTCTTATCTTCTGACACTGAATAATTGGAAGGTGGTATTACACCATTCATTTACATTTATACCAAAAAACTGAAGTGCTTAGGTATAAGCTTCACAAAAGATGTGGAAATGATGCTGAAAATTATACTGATAAAATATATTAAAGAAAATATAAATATATTGAGAAATAAAATGTGTTCAGGGTTTGGAAGCATCAATATTACTAAGATGTCATTTCTCCCCAAGTTGATCTTATAGATTCAATGCAATCTCAATCAAAATCACAGTAAGCTTTTTACAGGTAATGACAAGCCAATTCTGCAATTTATATGAAAAGGCAAAGGACTTAGAATAGCCAAAACAATTCTGAAAAAAAAAAAAAAAACAAAAAAAACCAAAAACGTTGGAGGACTCTCACACTATAGGGTTTTCAGACTTATGATAAATTATAATAATCAAGATAGTGTTGTACTGGCTCGCAGATATGTGTATAAAGCAATGTAACAGAAGAGAATTCATATATGGGCCCACAGAAACATAGCCAACTGATTTCACACAGAGGTGCCAGGACAGTGCAATCGTCATAGGAGTGTTTTCAAAAATGGATACTGAAACAACCGGACATACAGATGCAAAAAGAAGACAAAAAATCCTCTACATATATTTCACAGCTTGAAGAAAATTTAACTAAAGATAGATCATAAACCTGACCATAAAATGTAAAACTAAAATGTCTTAAAAAAAACTTAGCAGAAAAGTTTTAATGACCTGGGGTCTGGCAATGAGTTTTTAGATACAATGCTAAAAGAAAAAAATTGATGAATTGGACTTTATTAAAACTCAAATCTTCACTCTGCCAAAGATACACTTAAGAAAACGAAAACACAAGGCACAGTCTAGGAAAAAAATATTTACGAATCACCTATCTGAGAAAAACTTGTATCCAGAATTGATAACATCTTGAAACTTAACAATAAGAAACAACCCATTTTTTTAAGTGGGCAAAAGATCTGAACAGTTATTTCACTAAGAAGATATTAATGGCAAATGAGCATTGAAAGATGCTCAACATCATTTGTTGCCAAGAAAATGTAAATGAAAACCATGATGTGATAGCACTACATACTTACTGGAACTGCTAAAGTAAAAAACAAAAGAAAACAAAAAGCCTGCCAGTACCAAATTCTGGTAAGGAGGCAGAATAACGGGAACTCTTCTTTACTGTGGTTGAGTGTGGACAATAGTACAACCATGTTGGAAGACAGTTTGGCCATCTTATGAAGTATACATTCACGTGATTCAGACATCCCACTTGTGGGCATTTCAACTCCAAACGAGTTGAAACACACAGGAATGTTTATCACAAATTTTATTCAAAGTCATCCCAAGCTGGAAACAACCAAGATGTTCTTCAATAGGGTAACGGATACATTAACTTGATATCCATACAATGAACTATTACTCAGAAAAAGAAAAATAAAAAAGAATGGGCTATTGATTCATACACAATAACATAGATGAATCTTAAATGCATTCTATAAGTGAAAGAAATCAGACCCCAATGGCCACAAGTGGTATAATTACTCCTTTATAAAATTTTGGAAAAGGCACATTTGTGAGGATAGAAAATGGGTCAGTGGTTGCCAGGGGTTGAGGGAACAGGGAGAGGTTTTCTATATAGTGGCCACATCAGGGAGCTTTTAGGGCAGTGGAATGCTCTAGATGGCACTGGAGTGGTAGAGATACATGAATCTATGCATTTGTCAAATCCCATAAAACTGTGCACTACAAAGAATGAATTTTAATGTATGCACATTGAAAACAAAATTGACCAAGATGTCAGGGAGATCCCAATAGGAAATACAGAAAAAACTACTTGCTGAGTAGCAACTTTTTTTTTTAATGTTTATTCATTTTTGAGAGACAGAGCGCAAGCATGTAAGGGGAGAGAGAGGAAGACACAGCATCTGAAGCAGGCTCCAGGCTCTGAGCTGTCAGCATAGAGCCGGATGTGGGGCTCAAACTTGTTGAGATCATGACCTGAGCTGAAGTCAGATGTCTAACCGACTGAGCCACCCAGGAGCCCCTGCTGAGTAGCAGCTTTTAAAGAGTGTCAACGAGGGGCGCCTGGGTGGCTTAGTCGGTTAAGCGTCCGATTTCGCTTACGTCATGATCTCGCGGTTCGTGGGTTCGAGCCCCGCGTCGGGCTCTGTGCTGACTGCCAGCTCAGAGCCTGGAGCCCATTTCAGAGTCTGTGTCTCCCTCTCTCTCTGACCCTCCCCTGATCACGCTGTCTCTCTCTCTCTCTCCTAGAAATAAATAAAAATATTAAAAAAAAAAAAGAGTATCAAAGAGTAGAAAAAACAAACAGCAATAAATGTAGTATAATGACTTCAAAAAAGTTGGTGTGTAACCTTTTCCCTCTTCTCGAGACACTGTGATGAATGCTGTGTTGATGCAAGCTCCGGAAGAGCAAGGCCTGTGTTTGTCTCCCTCTGTAGGCCTAAGGGGTACAGTACAGTGTTTCTTCTCAAAGGAAGAATATTCCCACCACCCTTTTTAAAAGAAAAATTTCTCATAGGTTGTCAGCTCATAATGTTGACATCTTTTATCCTCTTGCTTTAAGGATATGCATAAGCATAAAATATACAATTTTTATGCTTATAATTTTTATGCAGCAATGAACTGTAACAGCAAACTATAACCACAGTAAAGCTCAATCTAATAACAACATTAAATTGGTGAAACCAAATCACTGCTCACAACGTGGTTGGGTATTTTGAGGTGCACAGACTGGACTGTTGTTGAGACTATTCAATGATCTCTGCCTCTATTTTCTCCTCAATTACACAAACCTCATTTTTTAGAACATGCCTTAATGCCATATAAGATGGCTTGAAGACATTGGGAATCACTTCCCACAGTAACAACCATCATAATTACTATTAGACCCTGTTATAATTACTCTATTCCCACCTGTACCTAGTCTGTGTGCTAAATAAAATTCCATGTAAGTTGAACTTGATCCTTGTCTTCTGAGGACACTGAGTATGAAGATAACACAATGATGCAGATGGACATAATCTATGTTTTAGGCAAAAAGAATATGTTGGCAATTATGAGGGAAGGTTCAGCTATCTTTGTCCAGAGTCTTTGTCTGCTTTAGAAGATTCTGACAGGAGAAAGATGCCAACACCATCTTCAGGTGGAATTTCAAACTCGTGCACCACTACACTGATCTATTTTGAACTACATGAAATTCCCTAAGGTTACAATAATGCTTTTTATTGTGCTTTCAAGACTGAAAAAAAAAATCACTTATAGATGGTGATAACTCAATAACATAACTCATCAATTTAAATAGAAATCTGTAAAATGTGGTGCTTGGGTGGCTCAGTTAGTTAAGCATCTGACTCTTGATTTAGGCTCAGGTCATGTTCTCACGGTTCTTGAGTTTGAGCCCCACATTGGGCTCCACACTGACAGTGCAGAGCCTGCTTGGCATTCTCTCCCTCTCTCTCGCTCTTTCTCTCACCCCTTCCCTCTTTCTTCCCCTCCCCCATGCACATGTGGGTGCACGTGTTCTTTGTCTCTCTCAAAACAAATAAACTTAAAAAAAAGAAATCTAAAAAAGAATTGTTTGACACCTGGTTCTGTTGATTATCTGTGATCTAGAGAAATTCATGTTATAACAATGGATAGTCAAGTGTGTACTGGAGTAATTTTTGATATATTTCATATGAAAGTAAAACATGCCTTTGAATTTTTACAATGCTGCTGCCAGGTTTTGCTCAAGTCTGTAAGACAGCAAGTCAGGGGCAGCACTAGGGATCTGTGAGAGAAAGACAATGACTGGCATATTTTTCCGCAGCGCTCAATGTGACTCCTGGCTCAACAACTCACAGACAAGACAGTCATAGATTTCCCTGCTCCCTTCATCCTGTGCATGTGCCTCCAATACCATGCTTGAGAAACAGCCACAAGGAAATGGATACACGTGTGGGTGATGGGGCCAAGTCCTGGCAGCCACGCTTACCAGCCATATTGTCCTTGGGAAAATCACCAGCCTCTCTGTGTTTGCATCACCTCATCAGTAAAGTAATGTAAGAGTGACGAGGTTCAAATGATGAGATGTAGGTAATGTCCTGAGAGAAAAGCTTGATACCAGGACATACTTCATAAATGTCAGCTATTATTATTGTCACACTTAACACATTGGGTTGTAATCACCCATTTCCTCTTTTTGCTTTAAATTCGATGGTTCTGTGAGTTCTTGGGGGGCAGGGACCACAATTTCTTCCTCTCTGTACCCACAGCTCTGGCCACACAATACTCCATCAAGGTGTCTGAACTGCAGAGAGGGAATAGAATTGGAAACAAAGAGATTGTGACCAAGCAAAAAGGACAAAATGAGTAACCTTCTCTTTGGAGTAGAGAATAGTAATACCTGTGTGACACTTCAGGGTCAACCTCTGTCCCCAACATATTTTCATCTCAATGCATTTAACAAATTATTCCTCGAAGTGCCTTTGGGTGGCCTGTTGACAGTGATTCTGCACCTACAGTTTGTTTTCTCTGTTGTAAAATAGACCTGAATGCTGATAAGTGAACCAGTTTTTAAAAAGCTGTGTACTAAGGTGTTGGAAATATTTTGGTCTGGGTGTTGGATATATATTATATGTCTATAATCTTATAATTTCCAACTTCATTTTATGTGTATACATATATATATACACACACACAAACACATAGATATGTTTGTGTGTATGTATATATAATACCTTAAAACAAAATTTTAAAAAGGCCTTTGCCCATCAATTGCAATTCCACCTGACACATGTTTACAAGGTCATCACTGCTACCCCGAGTGTCCTCTCCTTGGTACCTCCTAACCTACTGATCGCAAAGGCATCCTGTGTCTACACAGCATATGGGAAAATGGGAAATCTCTTGATACTCACTTTGAATAGGCAAGCCCTCTAGGCTTCAAAACACTGAGGCTTTTTGTTAAAGAGCACCCAAAATTAATGTTCATGTATCCACCAGAGGGAGCCAACACAGCCAGAATAATAATATACTGACCTTAGCAAAACCACCAATCAAGTTTTTCAGACAAGGACTGCAGAGTTCCAACACATGCAAGTCTCAATTTCTTAGTTCCTAGGAAGGATGTGAACTTTTACTGAAGTCAGATCTCACTGATGGCTTTATTTTTATCCTCAAAAGTAGACATTTAATAAGTGGCAACCGACTTTGGAGGCATTAACACTAATAAATGTCTACTAAGAATAAGGATGTGAGTATCAGGATAGCTCATCTTTGAAAAACACTTTACAAATTATGAAGAATGTTCAGGTGAAGAAGCGATTTTTACAATTTTTCTTCTTAATACAGGAATTTAATTTATAAATGCAGTTTGTGCCTGTTGGAGATGAAAAAGCAGTTTCCATTGCCTTGATATAGGGCTACCATTAACATATATGGAAATTAGAAGAAGGCATGCCTGTGAGTTATGGGGCATGGTTCTTCCAGCAGAGCATGGAATGGATTTCAGGCCCCACACACCCTACCAGACAGCTCTGTACTGGAACAACTACACAAGCATATTTGCAGTCCCAAAATCTGGGCAGTGGTGGCCCAGGGGATGTTTTGATAAGGACCATTCATTGATAAGAACTGCAATATTTTCCTAATCTCATGTAAAATGCAGATCTAAGACAAGTGGGCACTTGCCTCCTTCCAATCAGAATGCTGACCTTGGGCTCTTCCTGTAGAGAAATTCTGGATCTGCTACTGAGGCATAGAAATAAACATTTTCCATCCTGTTTTCCCCTGCCTTCAACTCACCCTGCTGGAAAAGTCTTGCTCATATTTTCCAAATTGCCTTTTTCTTTATAATTTCCATTTCCTGATCCTTCCTCATCTTTTTTTTGTAACCATGACTTTTTCTCATTGGTCTAACATTTTTGTAGGTGGAAACTGATAGCAGGCATTCACTTGCACATCTTACATGTGATCATTTCTCAGCCCTTACCTTATTTGACCTGACAACACCTCCTAATTATTTGGATCACACTGTTCTTAGAAAACAGTTTCTTCACGGGCACCTGGGTGACTTGGTCGGTTGAGCATCTGACTTTGGCTCAGGTCATGATCTCATGGTTTGTGGGTCTGAGCCCGATGTCAGGCTCTGTGCTGACAGCTTGCTCAGAGCCCAGAGCCTGCTTTAGATTCTGTGTCTCCTTCTCTCTCTGCCCCTCCCCCACTCACGCTCTGTCTCTGTCTCTCAAAAATAAATAAATGTAAAAAATATTTTTTAATAATAAAAAAAAAAGAAAACAGTTTCTTCACTTGGCTTCCAGGACACAGTTCTTTGGATTCTCCTTCTTCCATGCTCGCTGCTCTTTCTCGGTCCCGGCACTGATTCCTCCTCGTGTTCCTGATTTCTAAAGGTTGACATACACCAACAATTCTCTCCGCTGCTCTGTCTACACCATTGCCTAGAGATCTCAGCTCACCTATGGCTTTACATGCCATCTATCATGAAACAACTCACAAGTGTAATTCTCCCCCAGCCTCTACCTTGAACTTGATACATATTCCTACTCAGCATCTCTATTTGGATATTTAAAGGCATCTCAAATTGACTGCCCCAAAGAAAACTCTTAAAATTTTCCCTCTACCATGTGCTCCTCTCACAGTCTTTGTCCCTTCCCCCCCCCCAAAAAAATGTTATGTATCTCCTTTTTTGGTTGTTTATGCCAAAAACCTTGGAGTGATCCTTGGCTCCTGTCTTTCTCTCACTCCCCACATCAGCAAATGCTGTTGGTTTCAAGTTTGAAATATTCCCAGAATGGGATTACTTCACTACCACCTCCACAGCTATTGCTTAAGTCTAAATCAGCACAACCTCTTGGACTCGATTATTGGAATAGTCTTCTAGTTCACTTCCCTGATTCTGCCTTTCCTCCCCTCTCCACTCTCCAACCAGAGTCAACATTCTTTACTATAGTCAGAATGATTCTAAATGAGCTTAAGTGAGACCGTGTCTGTCCTCTGTAAAACATGTCCCACCTCACACAGAGAAACTCAAGAAACTTGAAGACTCTACATGGTCAACGAACCTTGGGTCAGTGATCCGAAGGTTCCACATAGACAGCCCTCTGCTGTATTTCTGGATATTGTGCAAGCTTCACCGTCCCTTGTGCACTTTCTTTGAACATGTCAAACCTGCTCCCACCTCCAGGTCTTTGTACTTGCTGGTCTGTCTGTCAGGATTGCTCTTCCTTCAGAGTCCTTATGCTTGCTCCCTCAACTCCATTAGTGTTTGTTCAAATGTCATCATAAAAGATAGGTTTTCCCTGACACACTACATTGAATAACCACCCTTCCATCACTCTCTATCTCCCTTACCCTGCATTATTTTCTTTCCTAGCACTTCCTAACACGTCTCTCCATTGTATGGATGAGAATTGGGTATATATATTTGCATATACATATAATATATATATTTGTATGTGTGTGTGTGTTTGATCACTGTCTTTCTCCTTATCAAGACTACTCTATGATAGAAAGTATTTTGTTTCATTCATTGTTATATTTCCCACTGCCTAGGAAAATGGCTTGCACATAGCAGGTGTTCAATAAATATTTGTTGAATGAATGTAGAATAAATTTAGGCAGTTTATATAGACTAAAAGTTATATAAAATATATGAAATAAAATGTGTTAAAAATTTCCTGTGTTGCCCAAGCATGACCGGACATCTTGAAATGCATTTAAAGAGACACAGAATTTACTCTTGAAGCACAATGAAGACACATAATGTTTGCTGAATATTGGAGTGAAATCTGCCATCTTTATGTTCCATGATTGTCTAAAGGGAATTTGGGCAAAACAGGAGCTACTCACTAACATTACTTAAAACTTTTTGGCCTTATATTGAATCACAAAGCATTATGTGTATTACATGTTTGTTTCTTTTTACCAATTGCTATCAAATTCTATTGCTAAACAGGATTTGTATAAATGTTATAAGCTCACCTGAATGAATATATTATGAATGTCATAGTACATTATTGCTGAAGAATCGAGGCTGATGTCTTAGGAGGGAATATCCACCAGTGAAGTCAGAAATTGTTTCTATATATCACCCAATTGCCAAAGCTAATTGCTTACATAAAAAGTCCTTGATGTATGTTGTTAGCATATTAAAGTATATTTACTGAAGTTGAATAGATGATGTAAATGACATATAGTTTAAGTATACTCGAGAAAAACAAAAGATAAATTCATTTACAACAGGGTATAATTAAGGAAAAGTTTTTACTTAAAAAAATCCCCACACTATACTTAAAAAAATGGGGCATTTGGGTGGCTTAGTCAGTTAAGCATCTGACTCTTGATCTCAGCTTATGTCTTGACCTCAGAGTCATGAGTTCAAGCTTCACACTGAGTCCTATTCTGGGTGTGGAACCTGCTTAAAACAAACAAACAAGTAAACAAACAAACAAAAAACCACACTAATAGCTAACCTGGTTTATAGTAGCCTAAAGAAGAACACATATCTAAAATTTCCTAATATTTCCTTCCTTACATTTTTTAGTATTTGATCTTTATCTTTGAAATGAACATGTAGAGGTAAAAATACAATATGAATCAGATATTTTAATGCTTATGTAATATAGAGGCCATGTACCAGAGTGGTTGGAGCCTGGGCTTTGGACTTGTCCTGCCTGGGTATGAATCCTGGCTCTGCTACTTCCTGGCTGTGGGTCTTGGGCAAACTCTCTTGTCTATGTGATTCTGCTTCTTTATAGGGTGGTTGTGAGAAATAATGAGATGGTTACTGGTAATACATGTAGACCATCACGGAGTGTAATCACTCAATAAATACTAGCTATTATTATCAGCTCTATATAATGAAAGTAAAGTTCTGCCATCACATCCCCCTTTGTAGCTAATAGGCTGAATTAATCCAATTTGCACTAATTTGTCAAAAACATCCAAATAGTCTCGTCTGAAATTACTCCTAAAGAAAGAGAACCTTTTATACAGCAGAGGAATGCTTAGCACCTTCTTTAAAGATGCCAGTTTCTCTCCAGGAATCTACTGATTACGTACACTTCAGATGGCATAATTGGTACTCAGAGCCCTTAGAGATGTTTCCTGGGTTATTGCTTTTAAAAAGCTCTGTGAAAGCCAATAGTAAATACCAGCTTCCAATGTGTTTCATTATTGATATTGATATTTTGAGATCATGACAAAGGCAGTGAGAATCATGATTAGTTCATGAATTCTCTTCATTTTACACTCTTTTCAGCTCTGTTATCCCCAGCCAGCACCCACCAATGTGCATACACACACACACACACACACATTTTTATCTCACACTTCCCATTTAAAAGTTGAGAAGATGATTTGTTATGTATCCATATTCACTTTAGTGTTTGTGCTTTTGAATCCTCTTTTAGGGAAGGCTGTATTATAATAAAGATTTGTGTCCTTATCTCAGCCTTTCTCACCATATTAATTTTGTGAGACGTGGTAGATATGATACAAGGTGTATTCTAGCCCTATTAATTCTATGACAGATTGTAGACTACTCTTACATTGAATTTGAAACTATAAAGTATGTTATGGTTTAGGGTACTTAACTCAATTCTTTCATTCATATTATGGAGGGACAGGCAAACCTTGCATAATTTTTTCCTAACCGAGTTTTCTTAATCTTTTTTTTAAAAATTGAAGTGAAGTTCACATAATAAGCAATTAACCACTATAAAGTATACAATTAAACAGCATTTAGTATATTCCTAATGTGGTTCAATCACCACCTCTCTCTAGTTTCAAACTTTTCATTATCCCAGAAAAATACCCCATACTCATTCAATAATCACTCCACATTCCTTCCTTCCCCCATCCCCTGTTTTCTTCCTCTATGGACTTTCCCATTCTGGATATATCCTATAAAAGGGATCACACTCTTTGTGTCTAGCTTCTTTTACCTAACACGTTTTCAAAATTCATTTAAGTTGTAGCCTATATCAGCATTTTGGTATTACTTATTGATGAACAATATCTCATCATATTTGTATATCACAATATGTTTATCATTTATCCATTGATGGGCATTTGGATTGTTTCCATATTTTTGCTTCTATGAATAATGCTGCTATAAACATTCATCTACAAGTTTCTGTGTGAATATATGTTTTCATTACTTTTGGATATATACTCTCGAGGTGGAATTTCTGGGTCATATGATAACTCCATGTTTAATTTTTTGAGGAAATGCCAAAATATTTTCCGCAGTGGCTGCATCAATGTACATTTCCACCAGCCATGGATGAAGGTTCTTACTTCTCCATGTCCTTGCCATTATGCTCCATTTTGGTTATTTTTTTTTTATTAATGCCATCCTAGTAGGTATGAGATGGTAGCTTACTGTGGTTTTGATTTTCTTAATGACCAATAATATTTAACATCCTTTCATGTATTTATTTGCCATTTGTATATCTTCTTAGGAGAAATATCTGTTCATGTTCCTGGGCCATTTTAAAAATTGGATTGTCTGTCTTTTTGTTGTTGAATTGTGAGAGTTATTTATATATTCTGGAAATTAAAGTTTTATCATATATGTGATTTATAAGTATTTTATCCCATTCTGTAGCTAGCCATTTCACATTCTTGATAATGTCAATTGATGTACACACTTTTGACATTTTTATGAAGTCCAAGTTATTTTTTCTTTTGTTGCTTGCTGTCAAATTTAGGAGTCCACTGGAGCACCTGGGTGGCTAAATCCGTTAAGTGTCCAACTTCGGGTCAGGGCATGATCTTGCGGTTCATGAGTTTGAGCCCCACATCGGACTCTGTGCTGGCAGTTCAGAGCCTGGAGCCTGTTTCAGGTTCTGTGTCTCCCTCTCTCTCTGCCCCTCCCCTGCTCATGCTCTGTCTCTCTCTGTCTCTCAAAAATAATAACAAAAATTTTTTAATGTTAAAAAAACTAATTAAAAATTTAGGAGTCCATTGCCAAATTTATGTCAATCCTCAAATTCATATGGAACTTCAAGGCACCCCAAATAAACAAAACATTATTTAAAAGGAAAAACAAAGTCTGAGTACTCATGCTTCCTGATTTCAAAGCTTGCCACAAAGCTACAGTAATCAAAGCAGTGTGGTACTGACATAAGGACAGACATATAGTCCCATGTAATAGAACTGGGATTCCAAAACTAAACCCAAACATCTAGACCAATTGATTTTAAAACATATTTTTTTATGTTTTTATTTCATTTTTGAGAGAGAGAGAGAGAGAGAGAGAGAGAGAGAAGAGAGCGCTAGTGGGGGAGGGGCAGAGAGAGAGGGAGATTCAGAATCTGAAGCAGGCTCCAGGCTCTGAGCTGTCAGCACAGAGCCTGACGTGGGGCTGGAACTCAAGGACTGCGAGATCATGACCTGAGCCGAAATCTGATGCTCAACCGACTGAGCCACCCAGGCGCCCCTAGACCAATTGATTTTGGACAAGGATGCCAAGACCTTTCAACGAGGGAAAAAAAATATTCTCTCGACAACAAATGGTGTTAAAACAACTAAATATCCAAATGCAAAGAAATGAAGCTGCACCCCTACCTTATTCCACATGCAAAAATTAACTCAAAGGGACCAAAGACTTAAATATGAAAGCTAAAACAATAAAACTATTAGGAAAAAAAATAGGAGAAAATACTTACCATGGATAATTTCAATCCACAGATAATTCTCTACTCCAGATAAAGTGAACATCTCCGGGGCGCCTGGGTGGCTTAGTCGGTTAAGCATCCGACTTTCGCTTAGGTCATGATCTCGTGGTTCGTGGGTTCGAGCCCCACGTCGGGCTCTGTGCTGACTGCCAGCTCAGAGCCTGGAGCCTGTTTCGGTCTGTGACTCCATCTCTCTCTGACCCTCCCCTGCTCACGCTGCCTCTCTCTCTCTCCTAGAAATAAATAAAAATATTAAAAGATAAAATAAAATAAAAGTGAACATCTCCATCATAACTTTTGCCCATGGAGACCACAGAGATAGTAGTAATGCTGACTGACTTGAGTTTTATCTCTTTTCATTCCCCTATCCATTAGGATAGATATTTCATAACAAATGTCCTTTTTTAAGGTAATCAGAAAGACAAAGAATCATGCACTTGGGCTAATTCTGGCAAAAAGTACCACTGGCCATGAGTAATAAAAATAAAACCCAAATACACAATTAAAACCAAACATACCCTTTGGTTTCTAAATTCTTTTGCCAGAGTGATTACTTTTCTTCCATCCCCTCCCTTACCCAACAATTTTATTAGGAGTAGTTAATATAGTGGTTAAGAGCACAGACCCTGCACCCAGAGGGTTTCCATTCTTAGCTTTACCACTCACTTCACTGCTTGTCTTTTATTTAATCCCTTTTCATGCCTCAGCTCCCTCATCTTTTAAATGGGAATAATATTAGTGCCTACCTCATGGTTGTATTATAATAGCACAGAGTAAGTATTACTTAAGTGTGTGCTATTATTTCTAGGACTGACAGAGGAAGGATCAGGCAAGAGAGGTATTTCTATGCTTCCTAAAGTACTGGTCCATGATTATATATAGAATTACTAGAAAAAGCATCTCATATGCTGGCCATGAATGTGTGCCTTGTAGACCTTCAAGTACAGGGAGGGTAACTGACTAAGGCCCCAGCTGCTATGCTCTGAAATTCATCACCATGTTTGCACAGAGGCCTCACTTCCCACCAACTGTTCCCAGCCCATAGCCAAGAGCTGCAGGAATGCCAAGGGAGGCCATTTCTGGGAGGCACAGGACTGCTCTTGGTCAGCTTTGGCCAGAGTACTCTTTGACAACCCTGTTGAAACTTCATAAGTGTGAAAGATAAGCTAGACCTTCCCTCCTGCTTTGTCCTCACTGGGTTGGTCTTGCATCATGGTTTGATGGACCTCCTAGGCTTTTCTTTGCCCTATTTTGTCTTACCCTTTTAATCCCATCTAAGTGTCCAACTCTTAGGACTAACACAGTCTGACATTCAAAACACTCTTAGATATGACCTTGATTTATATTCTAACTTATCTCTTACTTCTTAGCTACTAATGTCTTCCACTCTAGGTCTCCCTATGTGCCTACTGCTTTCCCAACTCTGGGCCTCTGTACATGCCCCTTCACTGACAAAGTATTTTTGCCTACTGGACCCCACTTGTCATGGATCATGCATCTCAAATGTCACCTTCCCTAAGCCTTTCAAGATCTGCCAGCCAGACATACTCTTTCCCTTCTCTAAACCTCCAGAACTCTTGTCTTTGAGCTGTTTTATAAGCTTATTAACAGCAATAACCATCTGTTACTTTGAACCCTCCAAAGTCCCCTGCTTGTACAGAATAGGCACTCAGTATTTGTAGACTGTAATTAGAAAATTAGGGGGAATTCCATTCTAGTGAATTTAATTTTTAACAGTCAGGATTTCTAACAGCTTACATCCATTCTGCTTGATATAGCAAAAATGAACTCAGGTGAATTAAAACAAATCCTATGTATCAAAGCACTTAAGACAGAATGTATTATGTAGCAACTCAATTTTGATATCTGCTTAAAATTCTTCATTAAACTTGGCTGATTTTTTTTCCTCTGAAAGAGTGATGAGAAACTAAAATAGTTTTGGGCTTGTCTACATGTCTGACTGTGGGCTAGGTGGCCAAGAAAAATAGTAATGCTTCCTCCTCAAGGGCACCGGGATGGCTCAGTCGGTTAAGTGTCTGACTTCAGCTCAGGTCATGATCTCATAGTTTGTGAGTTCGAGCCCTGTGTCAGTCTCTGTGTTGACAGCTCAGAGCCTGGAACCTGCTTCAGATTCTGTGTTTCCCCCTCTCTCTCTCCCTCCCCTGTGCATGCTCTGTCTCTCTCTCAAAAATAAATAAACATTTTAAAAAAAAGAATGCTTCTTCCTCTAATAAGGGCCCTCGGCTTAAGGGCTGGCATGGCCACCATGCCCTCCCTTGGGCTCCTCCACAAACAGAGAAGGGAGATCTGTCATTTCCTAGGGTGAGGTGTAGACATAGTAATATGAGAGGGCGCTGATGAGTTCACTATGTAGCAAATTTTACTTCCTCACATATGTCTGATCGTTTGTGGTCATTATTGTGGTTGACATTTATCAACTGCATGTCATCATCCACTTTTAATCCTTACAAAAGATTTATCAACATGTAGGACAGGAAATTGAGGCGCTATGACCAAGTCATACTGCTAGGTCACTGACCAAAATCCTTGACAAGTTTATTGTAGGTGTCCCAAAAATATGCCAATCGCATAAAATTCAGTTTCTTCCCCCAACTTCATTCCAGTGCTTTTTGGACAATATTCCTAGACAATTCAGCTCAAGCCAACTGTCAATGGACTGAAGGCAAGGTTTGGCAGTTAGCCAGGGTAAAGCAGTAATGCCAGCTCAATAGCTTCAGGTAAAGGCTTATAGCTCTTTAACTTGGGTCTCTTACTATTTCCGGTTAGGAATGCAACACTCAGGTAAGAACTTCTCAGGCGGAAAGCAGGAAGAAGGTGGCTAGTGCAAGGATCAGATAGTACCTGCTTGGACACTCATTTATTAATGATTTAACAAGGGTGATCACATGGGAGAATAGCCGTTTTTCCCTGCCCTCATTTATCTCGCTAACAAGCCTGAGAAGTGAGCAGGATGGACAAGTCCAGCAAAGAGGACGAGGAGGACAGCACATTCACCAACATTTCCCTTACAGATGACATAGGTAAGGAAGAAAGAACTTGATGCAGTCTGAAATGTAAAATTCAGCAACTGCTCAGTTTTTTAAAAATATAACATTACTTTTATTATCATGGTGAAATATGCTCATTATAGAAAACTTGAAAAATATAGCTACGAATTAAAAAAATTTATGTAAAAGCTATTTTTCTTTTCCTTTTAACTTAAGTGATTATTTAGAAAGTTTCTGTGGTTGTATCACATCTTCTTTTAAAATCAATCAACAAATAAAAATGTTTATTTCCTAAAAGCCCAGGAAATAGAACCTCAAAGTTGTTCCCAGAACATCATATATTATTACCATATTTTGTTCAATTATAGTCAATTTCTTCCCTATTTTGTAAAACAATCTTATCATCTCTGAAAAATGAACTAGAATATGCTGCAATTCAGTTTAAGAATTATTTTGGAAACTGTCTTTTTTTTTTTTAAAGTTTTATTTTATTTCTAGGAGAGAGAGAGAGAGACAGCGTGAGCAGGGGAGGGTCAGAGAGAGAGGGAGTCACAGACTGAAACAGGCTCCAGGCTCCGAGCTGGCAGTCAGCACAGAGCCCGACGCGGGGCTCGAACCCACGAACCGTGAGATCATGACCTAAGTGAAAGTCGGACGCTTAACCGACTAAGCCACCCAGGTGCCCCGGAAAATGTCTTATTTTTAAGCAAGGGCAAAGTTTGGTGAATTCAACACGGGAGAAGGAAAAAGGGGAGAGTAGTGGTGCTAAAATGCTGATGGAAGGGTAACTATGGCTCATTCAACATCCCAGAGAAAATAGACAATGCTGAGATGCATAACGTCAACTGGAAACACTTCAAACCCATAAGCACCCACATTGTGTGTGTGTGTGTGTGTGTGTGTGTGTGTTGTTGGCATTGTTTTGTACCCAAGTTACTTTAGCACAATCATAGTTAGAAGCCAGCAAGACAGCAACGAAGCAATGGGGGTTACTGATCTTGATTAACAGAGAGCAGAGCATGAATATTTAACATCAATTGCTCTTTCATACAGCCACGCTTCTCCACTTTCTCCCTAAATGCTCAGATTCAAAAAGCCTCTTTTTAAAGTGCAGCCAGACAATTAGCACAAACCACCAGCCAGCCAGCCAGAGCTAAGCTTCCCCTCTTGGCTCTGCGTAAACATGCTGGGGGCTTTGGAAATCAAAGAGGAGCATTTTCAGCCTTGATGAGGAAAGGAAAGGTACAAGGTACAGGGTCTGTTGAAGAAATGGGATACCGCTTGCCTTAACATGTTCCCACCAGGGTGTTTAGCAAATGACAGAGCTGCAGAAGGCAGCGAAGGAAACAAAGACCAAGGGAAATCTGTTTCTTAGCTTCTAGAAGGCACGATGAGTGAGGAGTTTATGCGTGGGGAGCCGTATATGCTGTGGGCGGGTACAGTTCATACAGAATGCTTGCTTGCTCTAAATTCACCCCAACCCAGGATTCCTTCTAGATTGTAGCGTGGGCTGGGCCTAAAAGCGGGACCGTGGCTGTGGCTGGGCAGTGAGACTTTGTGAAACTGCTCACTTTCATCCAGCTCTTGGCTGCCTCAGCCCTGCCCTCCTGGTCTCATCTTCGGCCAGCCCCACACTGGCAGTGCCCACAAAAGCAGAAGAGGACGGAGGCAGGGGGGTTGAATTCAGGTGTCCTGTCCGCTGTTGGCAGTGGTTTTGAGAATGATTGCTTGCTAACGGCTGCTGAGCCCATGGGCGTGAACCTTGAATAAACTGGGACAGGGTAAGCAGTACTCCTGGGTTGGTCCTGGGAGTAGTGGCAGCTGAGTGGGGGCGCCAGCGTCTCCTTGCTCCCACTTGGGACCTCCTTGGCTAGGGAGGTGCAGAATCTTTGCACACAAAGGGCCTGAAGGGATGGAACTGTCCGGCATGGTAGCGGTGGGCTGAGGGACTAGTACTAATTTGTGCTGTTTCACTATTTCAAGATGGCATAGGGAAATTGTTCATATCCTTGTGACAAAAATGAACTGAAACACCATGTTTTTTGGCTTTTTAGATAATTTTATCCATCCAATGT